AACTGACTCTCATGTATATTTTACAGCATTAGTTGATTTTTTTTCCTTGAGAAAATTTGGTATGTACTGTACCTGATATATATCCAAAATAATTGATATTGAATCTAATCTAATCGAATCGTGAAATGTGTCAAAACCCAGCCCTAATATACATATATAGTGATTTCAAAACTGATGGTTTTACCCATCCAAATTAACACCCATTTGTGCTTAAGCATGTCATGTACTATTTAGTACTGCATTTATACATTTAATTATCAAGTTATCCAACAGCTGAGGTGTTCTCTTCCCTCCATGAGGGCCTCAGCTGATCACCTAAATAGCATAAATGTACTTTTGTGTTGATGCAATTTATAAAAAAAATGACAGTGCAAACTAGGGGTGCTCCGATTGATCGGCTACCGATCACTATCGGCCGATAATCACGTTGGGATGATTGATCGGCGGTCTCTAAAGAGGCAGATCTCCAAAAACCGATCTCAAGCTGATGACGCTGCCGTGAGAGGTTTGGCACGAAATGCAGAGGCACCGTCTCAGTCTCTGTCCGGTGCGGGTAAAATAATTATAATGCTGAAGGTGAGGTACTCACCTTCATATTTCTTCATTAAATAACTTATAAAGTAATTTGAAAACCTTGTGTGAGACATAATTTCACAAACAGCGTGAGTGAATCACCTCGCGCGCGCTCTCTCTCTCTCTCTCTCTCTCTCAAAATATGCAAATGGCTTCAAATCACCACACATCGCGTCTGTCTATAAGCGAGCTGCATGCTGCACAGTTGACAGGAATTGTCACTTGCACAGTCGAGGCAGTGTCACATCATCACTAAAGTTGATAAATTGCATTACTTTTTAATTCTTGCCAGTGTTTAATCATTCAGCACCCGCGCGCTCTCCTGCAGACTGAGCGCTCATGCACATCACTCGCAGCACACACACATAATGCCAAGTTCACATTATTCCGTTTGCAGTGCATACGTGGTGCGTTTTTTTTCCACGCTCATGTTAACGGATTAAAGCGTTCACTGCACACAGCTGCGGCTGGCAGTGCATTCAGGAGCTGTGTGTCTGCAGCAGTGCAGAGATCGTTTCCGCACCGAGTCTATTGCTGCGCTGCAAGCGCTGAATTAAAATGCAGTGCATGATCAAACATTTAGGTGAGATAAATATATATTTTTGAAAAATGTAAAAAAATTGCCCCCCTCAAATTAAAAAAAATCTCCACTCACAAGACTCACCTAAGAGGGGAATTCATTTTCAAAAATGAAATTCAGGCTTCACCCCATTTTCAAAAATGAAATTCAGGCCCTGAATAAATGTCTAAAAATCCTGATTGGAGTATCACTATAAATTGTTATAAATGATAAAAAAGAAGGCTTTAAAAAGATCAGTATCGGTGATCGAATCGGCAGATACTGCTTTCTGTGATCGGCGATCGGTCTCAAAAATCCTGATCGGAGCACCCCTAGTGCAAACTAGCCCAAGAGAAGCTAGGTGCATTTTGCTGTTTGCGATTGTTGACACCTCTAACAATACAGACAAGGACACCCTGCACAGTAAATCACTGCTATTAAACACATTGCACTGTTTAAAAAAAAAAGTCTACAACAGACTTTCAAGCCAAAATATATATTTGACAGCACATGCACCCTGATCGTGGAAAAGCTTCACTCACCAAAACCCTGCTTCTCACTGCTTTGAAACAAAACAACATAACTGACCTCAGATCAGCAAGGGGAACGTGTAGCAGCACCTGCCGAATAGTTTAGTGGAGAGGCCTGACAGTACGCACAAGGAATACGGAGCGATTGCCCCCCACTGTGCTAACAGAGATGGCACTGTTTGAGACAACCTTCCCCTGAACCTCACACGGCCCTCAACCCCGCTACTGCTCTTTTTTCTTCGCTCTTCTTTTGATAATTCCATTTCCTTTTGAGTATTCTCCCTCGCTCTCAAATGCAGCTGACGACTGCCACAGTTTGGACTAGGGGTGTGCGATATGACGATTTTTGATCATGGACGATTAAAATGTCTCCACGATCTGCTTTTGAAGAAATATCGTAGTATCGCGCTACAGCACACATTCTATCAACTGCAGTTCTGGCGCCTCCATCTCAATATTCTGTACAACGCCACATACATGCACTTCAGTGACTCAGCAGAAGAATTACTCGCACAGGACACTGCACTTATTCGCAATCACAAAAATACAGTATTTTCATGTGTTTTAAAGCCTTGATGGTTAAACACTTCAATCACGTGCTGCTCTGATGTGCGCTTTTTCTGAGCACATACACCCGAAGCGCGCGCACTTAAAAGCCTGTCAAACAGCGCCTGATTACTTTACTAAGTTATCTTTTGCGCTAATACTGTCAAAACACACAAGGT